CTTTACCGGAAGGCTTTATTGCCGGTGGAGCGAAGCGGAGCTGGCAACTTGGCTTGGCGGAAGAGCGGGACCAGCTTGTTGTAAATAAATTAGACATGCCCACACATGTGTATGTAAAAATTGTTGATATTACCAATAGTGTGCTTGTTTCCAGTGGGATATGCAATGTGATGAAACTCATTGAATCAGCTGACCCAATGTTCTTATATCCACAATTGCATGTTTGAATACGCACTTCCTGCACACAAAATATTTTTCTGATGACAGACATTTCTTCGCCGTACCAGTTTTGTAGAAAGCTACCTTGAACCTCTTGAAAATTATTGTTGTTGTCCATGAATAGAGAATAATCACAGTCTGCTTCCTATAGAATAGACCACAGACATGTTTTCGGGTCAGTCCACGTGTTTCAATACATTTTCAGTTTGATATCTATGAGATATATACATACCAGCAAGTCGGAATGCAGCTTGTCTAAAATAAATACAAGTAATTCAGAAACGTCATGCTGTTTAAGGACATTTGCATTCCATACTTTGGAGAGAGCCTCAACGACACCGGTTGGCCTGAAGGGATCCTCCTCATCAGGGTCATTCATACGTTTACAGAAATTTTGAAGGGCTGAACTAAAATCCTTATTTGAAAATTTTAATCGCGAAAGATGCTCTGGTACAGGAGTCAAGAGAAGGCATTGCAGCACAGCGTTGAGGTAGCAGGACTGTCCAACATTGACTAGGCCCCTGAGCCCAGGAACACGTTTACCCTAAAATATGAACAAAACTTATCATAAAAATCATTCGTAACATGAGAAAGTAACAAAAATCTATAAAATTACCGTTCTTTGTCGCATGTTAAATTTTTCTGTCTTCTGGGATAAGGCAACAGGTGCAAAGGAAGGTTATTAGACGGTTATTTCACGGCATATTTCTCGTATTTCAGACATAAGAAGGCTTAATATAACAATATTTACCGTATTTCATCTCATAAAATAGCGTCACATTT